CTAAATAAGATGGCTACAAGATGAAAAGCTACACATCTCTCTCATAGCCCCAAGATCTTTACCTCAAAGCATTTCTGTTAAAATTCACCATGGCAATACAAATCGATAGCTTATCTTCACAGGTGTGGGGACATAGGATAGAACTCAAAGCCATCCCCCTGCCCACCTGACACAAATGCATATCTTATTCTTTCCTCTGCCCTATTGTCTACGCTATCATATGTAAAAATTCACATTCACTGAGCCAGACGAAGGCATAAGTCACTATTTTTTCCCTCTGTCCCTCTTGCATGAACACTGTGTATTTCTCAGTATCCCCTTCTTTTCCCCCTTTAAATTTGAAGCCCTCAAAATCATCTTCGAAGAAAGGCATAGACCTGTCTCCCAGGCATACATCCTTAGCTTCAGCAAATAAACCCCCTAAAATGATTCAGACTTGTCTCTGTCATTTTTCTTGACTGATAAAGCCAAAAAGAAAAACAGGTGAAAACCGAGGAGAAAAATGGACCAAAGATAAAAGCAAGCAGCTCATAATCAAAGACAGCTCATTATAAAAGAAGTACAAGTGGCAATTCACAATACAAATGGATGCCCAACTGTACTTGGAATTCAAGAACTTCCATGAAAACAACATAAAGAAAACTGTATGAAGATGGCTGGCACCCAGTGTTGATGAGGGTAGGGAGAAAGGAAAACTTTGGGTGAAAGTACAAATTGATTCAGTCGTTGAAAGTATAGTGAGTCAAATCATTTAAAATTTAAAATGTGTATGCCTTTTGACCCAACTCTAAAACATTTATGAAAGATATGCTCACACACATGCACAAGGGTATTTGAACAAGATACTTACTGCTGTTCGTACTAGTGAGAAAAATGCTGGAAACAAGCTGAATGCCCATCTCTAGAGAACCAGTTAAATAAATCATGTTACACCCACATGATGAAACACAGTAGATCCATTTTAACAATGAGCATAAACATCAAAAGGTAGTTGCAGCGTATTAAGTAAAAAAGTAACTTTCTGAAGAGTATGTATTGTGTAATCTCATCTGTGTTTTTTAAAATGTATATAAATGTAAATATTTAGGAAAAGTCTGAAAGACATACTAAAAATTGTTAACAGTTTTTACCTCTGGTGAATAGGATGGGGGAGGCTGTGTTTAATGAAGAGCATGAGATTCTTCTTATTTTTTATAGTTCTAAACTGTTTTAACTTTTTTTTTAGTAAGTATGATTCAATTTTATATTTAAAAAATAACTTGTCCCCCCATTTTTTAAAAAAAGAATTTTCCTTTCTTTTCCTTCCTTGACAGTTTCCTCCTTTATGGTTTTCTTTTTTTTTTTTTTAGACGGAGTCTCGCTCTGTCGCCCAGGCTGGAGTGCAGTGGCCGGATCTCAGCTCACTGCAAGCTCCGCCTCCCGGGTTCACGCCATTCTGCTGCCTCAGCCTCCCGAGTAGCTGGGACTACAGGCGCCCGCCACCTCGCCCGGCTAGTTTTTTGTATTTTTTAGTAGAGACGGGGTTTCACCGTGTTAGCCAGGATGGTCTGGATCTGCTGACCTCGTGATCCGCCCGTCTCGGCCTCCCAAAGTGCTGGGATTACAGGCGTGAGCCACCGCGCCCGGCCTTCCTTTATGGTTTTCTTCTCCTTGCTCTGGATAATTGCTCAGAATAAATACTCTCAAGCCCTGACCAGGTGAGATGACCCCAGGAGATACAGGAGAAGCAACTGACTGGGCTAGAGGCAGAAGACCTGAGTTCTTTTCCTTAGTTTTGCCTGCATCTCACAGTAGATCTCTAGCAACTCACTAATCTCTGCTAATCTCTGCTAGCACAGTTTCTTCCTGTGCAAATGAGGCTGTAGGGCAAGGTTCCTCTCAAGGTCTCATCAGCTTGGTGGCCAAGCAGTGACCTTCTGTTCAGCAGCTTTCCAGCCCCACTCCCTGGCTCCTGAACTCCATCTCCTGCCTTATATGGGAGGCTCCAGCAGTGCCACCTTTCACACGGAGGTGCCGCTGACACTAATGGACAACAGAGGGCTTTTATTCCACCCCACACCTGCTCTATTTGGGGGCTGCTATCAGCCATCTCACATCTCGGATTTGCCTTTGTTATCTAAATGGGCTCTCTGGGGCTAGAAAGCAGATGCTCTGAGCCATCAAGGAGAGCCGTCTCTGTCTAGGTTTGAAGTGGGTTTCTCTGAATAATCCTGTCACTCAAACACCTGGGTGGCTCCTACATTGAGCCTACAGATGGTTAGGACATCTGCCTGTGGAAGGACTGTAGTCACAGGCCTAATGTTCAACTATATAAAGATGACATGCACAAATCCATAATCAGGACATGGTGTGTGCTTGTGTGAACACGTGTGCGTGTGTGTATGTGTGTGTGTGTGCATGCACTACCTTTTACTAAGCACTCCCTATGTGCCTGCCAGAATACTTAATGCTTTATGTGGGATACATCATCTAGTCCTCTAACAATCTTAAGAACTATGTATTATTAATCCCATTTTACAGATAGGGAAAACTGAGACTGAGAGAGAGAAAGCAACTTGCAAACTCAGTTACAATAGACCAGTTTGGTTTTGAGATATTGAGTCAAACGGTATACACAAACTTTCCCCATCTATATCAAGCCTGTGCCCTTTGTTTTGCTTTTGGCAAGGACATAACAGGTCACCCAAGACACCCCAGTGTATACTGTACAAGGATGAAGATCATTGCTGACGTCTCTTGATTCTTCCCCATCCTGCTCCCCACCACCTGCCCAACCACAACCAAAATTTGACTATTCCACTCCCTTTCTTCACCAAGTATTTGTTTAAATAAATAAAAACCTTCTGGTTGTCAGTATTTGCCAAGTTGTGGTAGTTGGGTGGGGGAGACAAGGGCCAGGGCTGAAGAGACGAGGTACAACATCGATGTTTACATGTCATTTAAAATACGGTCTGTGCCTGTGTCAGAAGTCTGTACAAATCTCTGAATCAATTTTGTTGATTCGGGCACTTTTTGGAGGATAACCAACATATCTTGAAATATGGGGCTAGGAAGCAATTTCACTGGGGTTCATTTTTCAGCGACAGGTTCCACCTTATCTCTAGTGCCTCCGTTCCGAAAATCATAAGCATATGTCCTGCTGCTGTTGAGAATAAATTTGTCGAGACAATAAGCTGGCATAGACAAGGGCAGTGTGCAAAACAGGAAACCATTGCAAATGCTTCCATACTCCTCCAGGAGACAAATTACTTTACATTTTTCACGAGGAAAAACTATAGAAGTTAGTATTTTATTTCCTAGACCTATAAAAGCCTAACTGGTGCCCATATGTCATACTGTAAGATTTCTTCCAGCCCTTTCAAGTGTGATGCAAGATTAGGATGGGGGAAAAAAGAATAATTGAGCTCTCCTGTGGGTGAGATGACTCCATATGAAAATATACAGACTCCATTTCTAAACCGTTTAGGTATCACGTTGACTTTTTCTTGATTCTCTTTCAGTCCTCTCTCATCCTCACAACCAAAACCCCACCAAGCCTTTGCACCCTCCTCCACAATATAAAAGCCACAAATCACGTTTTTGTGAGCCTTAAGATTATTCTAGAACCCTTGGTTAGTTTTGTAACATCCCAGAAGAAGGTACACATAAGCTTTTTAAGAGGACAAAAGAAATAAGAAATTCATTATTATTGACTACAAAGAACTTTTCTGGGAAAGTGCAATGAACAGAATGTGTGTGTGTCTTCCCCTCAGATTCTTATGTTGAAATCTGCACCTCCACAGTGGTAGTATTAGGGGATGCGGCTTTTCTTAGATGAAGGTGGAAAGCCTTCTCCATGAAGGTGGAACCTTGATGAATGGAATTAGTCCCTTATAAAAGAGGTCTTAGAGAGCTAGCCAGCCCCTTCTGCCATGTTAAGGGCACAGCTAGAAGGCGCCATCTATGAACCAGGAAGTCGGTTCTCACCAGACACTGAAATTGCTGGTAACCTGATCTTGGACATCCAGTCTCCAGAGCCATGAAAAATAAATTTCTATTGTTTAGTAGCCGCCAGTCTATGGTATTTTGTAATAGAAGCTCAAATGGACTAAGATAGAGGGGAGGGATTTTTGTCAATTTTCTTCACTCTACATCTCCAACATCTAAGAAAAAGCCAGGCACATTCTTGGTGCTCAATAAATATTTGTTGAATTAATAAATAAATAAATTATAGTGGACATTTGTACTTGTTGCCTGTCTGCATTCATTCCTTTCTTTCTGCTAAGAGCACCCTAAGCCTTATTTGGGGAACCTCTATTTCCCACCCTTAATGCACATGGCTCAGGTACAACTGATCCACCCCAGCTGCAAGGCAGGGCGCATGTCCCAGTCTGAGCCACGGGCCACTGTGATTGGTTAAGAGATGGTACATGATTCAGTGAAAGTCCAATGAGGGCCAATCTCCAGTTCTGATGGGAACTCTGGGGATATGGAGTTATTTCCCACTGGAACTGCTATCTCTAAGGACAGTATAAGCCAGGAGCTTTTAGGGTTCACCTCATAGAGAGATTCTTTCTAGGAGTCAACACAGTACAGAAAAAAGCAAAGCCAGAGATGGAGATAAAGTGAGAGTTCTATGTATGTTGTTTAACCCTTGCATTTAACTGTATCTGGGACCCAAAATCCTTTGGAGTTTTTAAGTTGTATGACCCAATAAACCCCCTAAAGCCAAATGAGTTTCTGAAAATCTAATGTTTAAAAATAATAATAAAATTAACAAATGAATTAGGGAAATGTCAATGATTTTACCATCCTGGTAACTACAGTTTCTCTTAACGTGTGTTAGTACTTGACTAATACTAATCAAGAATAAGACTGCTGTTTCAAAGAGACCCCAAAATACCACAACTTAAAGAAGATGGACATCTTTCCCCCATGCAGAAATCTGGGAGGCAATACAGGGCTTTAATTGTGGCTTAACTAGGACTTGATCATGTTACTTTGTCATCCTCAAAATGCAGCTTCTCTTTCATGACCCAAGAGTGCAGTTCAAGTTTCTGCTATCAGGTGTCTTCCTGCCAGCTGTAAGGGAAAGGGGAGGACGAGGAAGATGTGTACAGATAAAGGCATCATCAACTTGGAGAAAGGTGCAGGTGAGTGGACCAGAAGAGAAATAAAAAATAATCCGTCTTTCCTCTCTCTCGTTTTCTTTCTCCAAGCATTTATTGAGCACTCACTATATACCAGGTACTATGATGAGTGCTGGGAATATAACATAAAATAAGGCTGACTCAGTCCATACCTTACTGGAGCTTATACTCCTGAGTAAGTGTATTAGTCTGTTTTCACACTGCTGGTAAAGACATACCTGAGACTGAGTAATTTATAAAGAAAAAGAGGTTTAATGGACTCAAAGTTCCACCTGGTGGGGGAGGCCTCACAATCATCGCAGAAGACGATAGGCACAACTTACATCACAGTAGGCAAGAGAAAGAATGAGAACCAAGCGAAAGGGGTTTCCCCTTATAAAACCATCAGATCTTGTGAGACTTATTGATGACCATGAGAACAGTATGAGGAAAACCGCCCTCATGATTCAATTATCTCCCACTGGGTCCCTCCCACAACACATGGGAATTATGGGAACTACAATTCAAGATGAGATTCGGATGAGGACACAGCCAAACCATATCAGTAAGTTATTTTAAAATGTCAGAGGTCCGATTTTAGATCGTGGCAGCTTCTAGGGAAAGATATGGGCTTTTCTCTTTTATAAGATTTAGAAAACTCAGTCACCCCCAACTACTAAGACCTAGTGGCTTTCAATCTTCTGTCCCAGTGGCTACCAAAACAGCAAAAGATCTGCTACCTCCATTTCCATTTTGTGTTGTACAGTCCCACGCAAACACAGTTATGCACCATATAACAACATTCCAGTCAACACTCAACCACATACATAACAATGGCCCCATAAGATTATAATACTGTATTTTTACTGTACTTGTTTAATGTTTAGATACACAAACACCATTGTGTTACAATGATCACAATATTCAGTACAGTTACATGCGGTACAGATTTGTAACCTAAGAGAATTAGGTTAGGATGAGAATTACAACCAGCTAGGATGTGTGGGTTCACTCTGTGATGTTTACACAGCAACAAAATCATATAACAACACATTTCTCAGAACATATTCCCATCACGAAGTAATGCATGACTATATTAATTTTCTCTGTCATGTGTATGTGATAAATCTTTTATATTTAACTATGCTATTAAAAACTTCTCTTTTCAAAGGAATTTCAGAAAATTGCAGGATGCAAGAGATTTTTTTTTGTCTACAAAATGGAGCTAATGAAGCTTCCTACTGCATAATATGTTGTGAAAATTAAATGAGATTATATTTGTAAACTTCTAAGCATAGTAAATATGTTGACTCTTTCTAAAATCATTTTTATTATATTTTCTGATCAGAGATCATTATTTCTCTCTCCCTAATTCTATTTAGGGCACCTGGAAGAGAAGGTGTCTGGATTTTTTTCCAATGAGTACATATTACTTTTATGTTTAACAATTTAATATACAAGAATAATAACTTTTTGTGTTTTAAAAAAGGAAACAGCTCATTATAAAGTAAGCAATGAAGAAAAGTAAAAAGAATTTTTAGTAATAACCCCAAATGATTAGTATAGATGAATATTTGACATCTTTCTAAGTAGATATATAGATTACAATGTTTTCAGTTTCAAAAATATATGTAAAATCCAAATAGAATTGCTTTAGCACATAGAAATGTGTTGATTTTTGTAATTGACATCCAGAGACAGAGTGATCTTCAGGGTTGGCCTCATCCAGCTTCTAGTCACTGTGTATGGGGCAAAAGTCTTCACTTGCAAAATGTCTGTAGCAGCTCCATGTTTTGCACCTTTAAACAGACAAGTCCAGAGGGAGAGAGGGAGTTTCCTATGGTGAGCTTCTCTTAAAAGCTTGGAAGCTCCTTCTTCAGAAGTCTCCACCAATCCTTCCTTCATGTTTCACTAACCTGAGCTGGGTCACAAGCCCATTCCAGATTCTACTGCAGGAATATGCCACACCCTGGTTGGTTTCGACCTGAGTTCCCTGGGATAAGGGATTATCTTCAGCCCAATCATTCCACCCTGGCCCTGGAGCTGGGTTCACAGTCCCCTGAAGTACTTAGGTTGCCTCTCAGAGAGATGGAAATCTGTATGAAAATCCAGTTACTATTTAGAAAGGTGAGGAGAGGAAAGGGAAATGTATACTGCATTAGTCCATTCTCACCCTGCTGTGAAGAAATACCCAAGACTGGGTAATTTATAAAGAAAAGAAGTTTAATTAACTCACAGTTCTGTATGACTGGGGAGACCTCAGAAAACTTCCAATCATAGTGGAAGGCACCTCTTCACAGGGCAACAGGAAAGAGAATGAATGTCAAGTGAAGGGCGAAGCCCCTTATAAAACCATCAGATATTTTGAGAACTCACTCACTATCATGGGAATAGCATGGGGGAAATCACCCCCGTGATTCAAGTATCTCCACCTGATCCCTCCCTTGACATATGGAGATTTTAAAATTCAAGGTGGGATTTGGGTGGGGACACAGAACCAAGCCATGTCATATGCTAAAGAGAGATTGAAAGAGAAACAGACATAGATAGGCAAAAATATTTTTACACAAATATGAGCATATTATGCACACTGTTCAAAAAACTAATGGATTTAATGTTACTTGAATTGAACATTAGAAAAGTAAAACTAACATAAAACAGAAAAATTGCTGCCCTTTCGTTAAATATCCTTTACCACAGGAGATACTATTTGCTCAAAATTCCTTCTTGGGGAAATAAGGTTAAGAAAAGATACTATGAAAAATGTTAAAAGGTTGGAGTCTTTTTTTTTTAGCAACATGTTTCAGTTTTAGACAATATCAAATGACTCACACATCGGAAATATGAGTAAATCTTTAGACTTGTACTTCCTCCCATCTCCCCACCCCTCACTTCCCAATTTTGGCTCTAATATTATTTTTACGTTATCATTGTTTATAATATTCACATTCTGTTGTGGAAACATTAATCTCATAATTGTTTAATACCATCAGTCCCATGTTCAAATGAATTATGTGTTCCTAATAAGTCTTTTTTATCCCAGACTATATATTTCCAAATATTTTATTTCTATTTATCTCTAAATCGACTGTTTCATCACTGAACAATTCCTCTCAAGCAGGACTCATGAGTGTGTGTTCCCTGAGTGCTGCTGTGGGCCAGAATATTTATCTGTGACTTTTCTACTTAAATTCATTCTGGATGGGTGAAATATTTTTGAGTCACACTTTCCCTTGGAAATCCTAGGTGGTGCTTTATTATATCTTAGCATGCAATATTGATTATTAGTGTCAAAGGCAACCCTAACTGGCTTCCTTTACTTTTTATGTCCTTTGCCAAAATACTTTTTTAAAAAAGTCCTTGAAGTTTGATAAGTTAATGGGGATATGTCTCAGTGCTGATCATTTAGTATTTGTTTTTCTTGGGTCATGGTGTGCTCTTTCAATCTGCAGATTCGTTTCTGCATTTGTCAGAGCAAATTTTTTTGTTTTATAGCTTTGAATATTTTATCTGTCCTATTTGGAGATTCTTTACAACCAGGCTTAACAACTAGGCTCAAATTGCTATGTGCTTTTCACTTGCAATCACTACCTTTATCTTAAGCATTTTTTCTGTCTGTAAGCTTATTTTGAGCTGTGTCTATTTAGTTTTTTTTTTTTTTTGACAATTTTTTATCTATTTATCCGTTCTATAATAATGTCATTTTGAATGAAAGCACTTGGACACAGAGGGGAACATCACACACCCGGGCCTGTCAGGGGGTAGGGGGCTGGGGGAGGGATAGCATTAGGAGAAATACCTAATGTAAATGATGAGTTGATGGGTGCAGCAAACCAACATGGCACATGTATACCTATGTATCAAACCTGCACGTTGTGCACATGCACCCTAGAATTAAAGTATAATTTAAAAAAAATAAAAATAATGTTGTTTTGGTCTTTAATTTGTTTCTACAGGACAGCAGAAAATCACTTTTCCAGGTCATTCTCTTGTTTCATTTCCTCTTTGGGACCCACCATGTTGAATTCATATTCTTATTAACCTGTTCTATAACCTAAAGCATTTAGGGAAAACAATATGCTCTGCTAATTGGGTTTTTTTCTGATTTATAGCTTTTGATTCAATTTTTCAATATTTTGGTAATTCAAGGCTTCCACAGTGAGCACAGACTTAGAAACTACTTTTCTAAAATCTCTTTCCTTTCTTTGTCTTCCTCTTTTTGAAGTCTATGACATTAGGTTGCTGCCATTTCCTTGTGTTCTTGCTGTTGCTATTTTTTTGTGTCTGTTTTTTTTTGTTGTTGTTGTTGATTTTTATTATTTTTATTCATATTTTAGATGTTGGAGGAGGATAGTCTCTATTTTGCCTCTATTCTGCCATCCTTCTTCAGAAGTCTATATTGTTTATATTTATTTTCATTTGTTTAAGCCAGGAAAAAGTGACCTCCATTTTTTAAAAAAAGAATCAATGAGATCATGTATGTAAAGTTCATTAAAAACTTTAAAATACTATGCAAACATTATTTTTAAAAGATAAAATCATAGAATTTTTAAGATTGGACTAAACCTAGGGACTTGTGTTTTAACCCCATACTCAACTCAGAAATCCACTGCAGCATTCCTGATAGTGGCTTCTGCTGCTCTGTGTGATGGGGAACTTGTTCCTTGGCAGAGCATATCATTTAGTAAATGTGCAGCTCTTGCAGTTTGTAATTATCTATTGTAAGGCCAAATGTGCTTTCTGGAACTTTCTGGAACTTTGGCCATAATTTCTAGCTCAGCCCGACTTAGTAGGTGAAACAATGGTCACATTCAAAGTTGTCACGATGTAGAGACACTGGCATCCTGAAGAGAAAAAATAAAAACTAAAATATTCAGTGTGTTTGTATAGGAACCATACAGATCACAATAATTTGTGTGAACTGTTTTCTATTTGTACCCAAAGACATGCGCAGAAAAAAAAAAAAAATGTTTTTAACAGTGAAAACGTCTGATTAACTTTGTAGCAAGTTTTTCTCTGATTTTAACTGTCACAAAATCCTTACTCAAAGCTCATAGATAGCTGCTCCTAGAAATGTTGGCAACCGTTCAAAAAATTAAATGGAGTGTTGCTGATATCTGGTCATGATCACCTTTCTCTGCCACTCAAGCTGCTGAATAAGCACTTGTTGAGGGAGAAACACATTTCCCAGTGTTCAAAGCACTTCTCAGGAGGAAGTAGCCCAAGGACCACTTCCTAGTCTGCACACTCCAGCTTGGAGGACCACACAATCCAGTTAGAAATAGTGTTTGCACAAATAACTGTTCCTGTAGCCAAACGTTTTAAAAATACTTTAAACAAATCTTTTCAAGATTTCTAATTCTAGCCTGTATCAGAAATGTATTAAAATTCTGCAGACCTTTTTGCATTTTGTATCAACTCAAGTTTCCCTTGAAAATGTTTAGGAATTTCTGATAATCTTTTGCTCTCCTTTTGAGAGTGAATTTTCTGGCATCAGAAGTTTCTAAGGCAATTGCATGGCACTTCAATACTGACCACTTAGCAATTAGGTAAGAGGCAGTTAATGGAAGCATAAGGGGAGCATGGAGATCCAAGGACCCCTGACTCTCTCCTAGTCTCACCTTCACCTCCATTGAAGGCCAAGTGCCTTGCACATTCTTCTCACAGCCTCCATAATAAACAGTGACATTTCTGTGCTTATGGAAGCCCGTAATACCCTTCGGTGGGGTTTCATTTTTAGATCAAAACACAGAAACTTTAAGTCATCCTCGTCGAATTCTATAATTCAAAAAGCCTTTCCTTTCTCCCTTCCTTCCTTCCTTCCTTCCTTCCTTCCTTCCTTCCTTCCTTCCTTCCTTCCTTCCTTTTTTTTTTAATTTTTTTGACAGAGACTGGCTCTGTCATCCAGGCTGGAGAGCAGTGTCACAATCACAGCTCACTGAAGCCTCAGCCTACCAGGCTTAGGTGATCCTACCACCTCAGCCTCCCGAGTAGCTGGGATTACAGATACACGCCACAATATTAGGCTCTTTTGTTAATTTTGTAGAGACAGAGTCTCTCTATGTTGCCGAGGCGGATCTTGAACTCCTGGGCTTAAGCAATCTTCCCTCTTTGGCCTCCCAAAATGCTGGGATTACAGGTGTGAGTGACTGCGCCCAGCCCAAAGAGTCTTTGTTAGAATCTTAATTTTTATTTTTCCTCCTGAGGACTGGGTCAGTATTCTCTTTAGTTACCTCAGCTTTTTCCTCATCCTCCTTCCCTTTTTCACTTCTGGGAAGGGGCGAGTTTATCCTGATGGGCTTTTGTGCCCCCACCCCGACCTTGTGTATGCATCTATTCTCTAGCCCAGTTCCTTTCCCTGAAATAAACAAAGGCGAAGATTTATCAGAGCACAACGCAGGCCCGGCCCTTTGCAGAGGTTACCTCGTCTACTCTTTTCCATGACTCCCTGAGATAGGTTACATCATCACCCCGATTTCACATACTGAGAAAAGAAGAGTTAAGTGGCTAGCCCAAGGATACCCAACTAGGAAACAGAAGAAACCAAATTTAAATCTAGATAGTCTGATTCTAGAGCATGTACTCTTAAGCCCCACACAATGCTGCAGGAGCCATTACACCGTGTGCATATGATTGTACTGGGTACCTTCACACAAACCACATTATCAGCAGGCTTTGCTGTGCTTTCCTGGAAACTCACCCAAATGGTCACCTCCAACACACATCCTGTGAGCACTTCTCAAGGTGCTACTCTAGGTGATAAAAGTGGCAGAGGAAGCTCTCTGTGGGTGGCACATGGTGCTGGCATAGTCTTACATGGGGTCTCACAGGCCTAATGGAATTTCCATTTGGGGCAATGTGGTGGATTGCATTACATGAAACCCTCCTGCTATGAAACACCTGGAAAAGCAGTATAAACTAGAACTGGCGTCCCTTTAAATGTCCCAACTGAGCTCAAAAGAAAGAAAAGAAAATCCCAGGGGCCAAAAATGAAATGGAAACTAAAACCAGAGAATAACCTGCACACTGAAGCTGGGGCCACCTGGGGGTATTTGATGATCTCACAAACCAAGGAGTTTGGGATTTGATGGTTAGTCTGGGACAGAAGGAAAAATTGATATCCCACGTAAAGTTGCTACCCTTAGTGAAAGAGGAAAAGCGGGGAAAGGCCTCCTTCCCCTAAAAGACCAAAGGAAATGACAGAGAAACTTGCATTCCTTGGAGTGAGCTCTGAGTGGGGAAAATTTTTGAAACTCCAGGCCTGCCTTCACAAGCTTTGGGGTTCAAAGTTGTACTCCCTCTGTGGCACAGGAGACCTCTGGGTGTTAAATTAGTGTAGAAACAGTTTTTAGACGTTCCTAAAATTCCTGTCAAAAGCAGCACCGGAGAGATGCCCTCAAACTTGGAGACCCGGGATTCCCATGGTTTAAATGCCATGTAAGATGAATTCACAATCCAAGATTTTTTAAAACCCCAAACACATGAGCCACTGCCAGCAGACCTATCAATAGAAGATATAAACCCTCCCCAAACTCAGCTTTGGCTAGGGACTATAAAATAAGAACGTTTAAGGTGATTAAGGTAAGAAAGAAATAATGAGAGACAAAGAAGCCATAGAAAAGACTAAGCATATTGTACTAAATAGAACTTTGAGAATAAACAATATAGTAATTAAGATTAAAAATCCAAGGGCAGCTGGAGAGAGAATCAGTAAAGCCATTAATCCAGTTCTGTCTGGTGCCTGAGACATATAGAAATGAGGAAAATTCCAGAAGGCAGCACGGAGAAACAATAAGAAGCTCCCAGGAAAGCAATCTTGGGTCTTCTACCAGAAAAAAAAAATGGACAAGAAGAGTTCTTTGTGCGCTGGAGCTGCGATGTCAGTAAACATTTTCTAGAAAGGGCCAGATAATAATAATTTTCAGCTTGGTATCCATACATCTCTGTCTCTGCCACATAGTCTTCTTTGCATTTTTTATAACCCTTTAAAAATGTAAATATTTTCCTTCGCTCACAGGCTGTACACAAACAGGCTTTGGGTGTGATTTGGCCTGAGGGCATGGGCATTTTCTACTGCGTGAGGATAATCTGTCTGAGAAGGAAACCATTCAAAGGAGGTCCTGCCAGGAGGAGGAAGAAGAGAACACAGATTCCCAATGACGTGATTTGAGTGCCTGGACCCACTAGATACAAAAACCTAACCCAGGAATTTTTAAGTTTGTGAACCAATAAATGCTCTTTTTTCAAAAGTCAGTGTGCCCTAGTTTTATGTTACGTATAAACAAAAGAACAACTGGCAAATGTAGCGATGTGCTTGAATCTCTAAATCCTTTCTGTGTGATAGTCTGCCTGTTTTAATATCATCTAAATTGCAATTGCTATTGTTCAGGAATTACTAAAACAGTTAAACCCAGATTAATGCAATATTTTTTACAATCAGTTGTTCTCTGAAGTGGAAAAATAGAAGAAAGAAAAACAATATTTTTGTGTGTGTCAGGCATTGCACTGACTGTCTTAGATGTTGTCCCACTGAACAGACACAACTCCTTTGTGAAATATGCATTAACTCCCTTTTATAGGTAAGAAAACTTGATTGTGAGAAGTAAAGTAACTGGTCTAAGGCCACACTTAGAGTTCAGTCGTTGTGGCAGAGATCTTACGGCTTAGAAAGCCAATTATCTGCTATCTCACCTTTTTTTTTTTTTTTTTTTTTTTTGTTTGAGACGGAGTCTTGCTCTGTCACCCAGGCTGGAGTGCAGTGGCCGAATCTCAGCTCACTGCAAGCTCCGCCTCCCGGGTTCACGCCATTCTCCTGCCTCAGCCTCCCGAGTAGCTGGGACTACAGGCGCCCGCCACCTCGCCCGGCTAGTTTTTTTTTTTGTAGTTTTAGTAGAGACGGGGTTTCACTGTGTTCACCAGGATGGTCTCGATCTCCTGACCTCGTGATCCACCCGTCTCGGCCTCCCAAAGTGCTGGGATTACAGGCTTGAGCCACCGCGCCCGGCCTGCTATCTCACCCTTTACAGAAAACGTTTGCTGCCCCTGCTCTGGACAGAAGGAGATATTACTATTATCTTAGCTGCTGGCTGAGATCGTTCTCAAGAGGGAAACTGTGCTTGGGAAAATACTTTGCTAAGTGTTTGGGTTGGAGGTCCGTGAAAATTCCAGTATCTGGAGCAGCTCTAGTAGGAAGGAAAAGATGTACCATTTTACATGAGAAAATAAGAGGAATATTGGGTATTGGCTCCTCTCAAAAAAAAAAAAGGGAGGGGTGGGAGGAGGAGGACGGAGGGAGGGAGCAAGCAAGGAGGCTGGAAGAAAAAGAATTGGAGAGAAAGAGGCTGGAAAATTTTCAGGAAGTAGGAATGTAATATTAGGGCAACAGGATTGCAGAAAAATCTAGTACCAGGTTTTAAGCTATTTGATTTGTGGTATATCATGCTTCCTGGGATCCCCTGGTCTTTGGTAAAATGGCTTGTTTGTGTAGCTGGTTTTGGGATGAAGGGAGAGTCAAAGAGAAGTTATGTGGGGGCCCAATGTCAGAGCTGAATGGAAAGAAGTAGCTCTAAGACACAGAGAATAGATTTTGACAAAGTTAGGACATGAGAATAGAATTAACCATAAGACCATAAACCATAAGAACTTCCCCCAGAATTTGGAGAGCCCTTGCAAAGTGCTTTAGGTTTCCCTAATCAATGTAATTTCAATCCAAATCAATCTTCCGTAGGGTTTAAGGACCAGGAGACGTTAGGTAATAGCAGAGTCAGCCACCTGCTCGACAGGGATTGAATAAGGCGTTCTCCCTGTGTCTGGGAGCTCATACCCTGTGGGAAAACAGACCTCAGAACAAATGTGTAATAATTGCTCTGACAGAAAGATGAACAATTAAAGCACAAAGGACAAAATGGTCGACTCTGCCTAGGGTGTCAGGGAGGACTTCTCGTAGGAAGTGATGTTTGAGCCAGGCTTTGAAGGATGAGAAGGAGGTAATCACTCAGACAGGAGAAGGGAGAATCTTCGCGCCAGAGGGAAGAGGAGGTGCACAAAGGTGAAGCCAGAAAGAGGGTGTCAGGAAACAGAAGGCTCCCTGCAAGACGAGAATGAGAAAGGCAGAGGAGGGAGCGTCGAGAAGTGGATCAGGCTCCTAAGGCTGCACACTTTCTTTTTTCTTCCATAAAGCGTATTTACACGAGGAAGGCAATCAGTGAAATTTGCTTTCAGATTGGTTATCACATCTATTATTTAAAAAGAATTGGGGTTTGATGGGGTGGCTCTTTTTCTTTCTTTTTGCTCTTTGGAGCATTTACTCTTTGGTGGTCTTACAGCTGCTCTTCTTACTGTGAACACGTCTTGACTGAACATCATGATATGCACTAAGGAGTCAGGAAGGTTTAACTGATTGTACTGCCAAGGGAAGCAATACTGCACGGGAAGCAACAGCATGTGTTAAGAAAAGCACAGCCTTGAGTTTAAATGCTGTTTCTGCCACTTCTTAGTGAAGCACAATTTATTTAAACATTCTGAGCCTCAGTTTCCTTCTCAATAAGAAAGATAGAGACCAGGTGCAGTGGTTCACATGTTTAATCCCAGCACTTTGGGAGGCCGAGATGGAAGGATCACTTCAGCCCAGGAGTTCAAGACCAGCCTGAGCAACATAAGGAAGCCCCAGGGCTACAAAAAATTTAAAAATGAGCCAGGAGTGGTCGTGCATGCCTGTGGTCCCAGCTACTTGGGAGGCTGAGGTGGGAGGATCATTTAAGCCTCAGAGGTTGAGGCTGCAGTGAGCTATGATCATGCCACTGCACTCCATCCTGGGTGACAGAGTGAGACCCTGTCTCAGAAAGAAAAAAGAAATAAAAAAGGTAGATAATAGTATCTATGTGGCAGAATTGTGGTGAGGAGTAAACGACATGAGAGCCCAGTGGCTGTTACCTAATAGGTGTTCAGTAAATATGAGTTCCCTATTTTCCAGTTGGATGAGTTTCTTTTTGTACCTGACTTTTTTATGATTGTTTCGAGTTGCGATGTTCAATATGATTGATAGCCACTAGCCATGTGCTGCTATTGAGCATTTGAAATGTGCCTCATCTGAATTAGGATGTGCCATATGTGTAAAATATATACCAGGTTTCAAAGACGTAGGATGAACTGAAGAATGTTACGTATTCCATTAATAAACTTTTATATTAATTGCCCATTGACATGGTAATATTTTGGATATATTGGGTTAAATAAAATATGTTCTTAAAATAATCTTACTTGTTTCTTTTTTATTTTTTAATATGGCTACTAGAAAATTTAAAATTAATTTGTGGGTTGTATTATATTGCTATTGGACAATTGCTGGTTATAGAGGAAAGATGGAATGAAATTCCAAGGCCTCTCTGAAGCCCAGGTGACCAATAAAATATTTCAATTTTTTCAACTTTGTTATAGGATCTAGTTGCCTAAAATTTAATGGAATTTTGAAAATAGGATGAGACACTTAGTCACTGGAAATTAGGTTAAATTGACTTTGATGGGAAAAAAATGCAGTTGTCAAAATTTACTTTCATTGCATTTTCACCACCAACTGAGTACCTTGTCCTCTAATGTTACACGTAAGTGTGAAGGTTAAGAGCTGTCTTTCTAACTCACCTCTGCTGGCCGGAATCCTGAAGCCACATGCTACACTGCTTTGTCTCTCCTGGATTGCACAGTGAAATTGTTTTCTCTTTATGTACGACAGAGTCTTCACTTCTTGAACTCCTCATCCTTCTCAGAAACCACACAGAGGTGTCCCTGGACTGCAAAGAAGTTTCTTTCAAATACTTTAAACCAGTAGGAGACCTCAAATTTGACATTAAATACACATATGTGCATGTGCACGTGCACACACACACGTGCATGCACACACGCAGAAACCCAGCACAGGGTGAGGCAGTGCAGGGGGCAGTGGCAGGGTATGGTCTCCCTTAAAAAATTCCAGTGAACTCACTAGCTTTGAGATACAGAAAAAAGCTGAAGCATTTCTTCACACACCATGGTTTCTTTTCCTTGACATCATCTGTAAGCCAGTTTGCTGGGGAAGGAGTTGGGTGACTGGGGCTCCCAGTAAGCACTTGTGTAAATGGAGGCAGAGAGGCAAAAGAGAGTGCAGCCAATGTTCATTACAACACCACATCACTGGCACAGTTTCTGCTTCCTTCTCTTCCAATTCCCAACTCTCTCACCTGGGTTCCAACCCTAGCACTCCTCGCAAATGGATGCCTCTCCCTAAGTATGAGCTCCAGGCTGCTAAATCCAAAAACTATTTTTAGCCACATCACAGGAATAACCCTTAACATCTGCCTCCCCCGATCCAGCATTGACCACAGCTATGGTGTACCATAGCCATGGGCACTGTCCCCTTTCCTCTCCTCCTTACCCACACCCTGCAGCAGGCTTCCTCCTGCCTGGCCTAGCAGCCTTTGGAAATGGCTCATTCAGAGGCTCTCAAGGCATACATAATGCCACATCATAGATATTGTTCAGTTCTCATCTTTACTAACCTCTCAGCAATACACCACTCCGCCCATCTTGAAACACTCTCTTCTTTGACTGTCCAATGCCATTTGATATGGTTTGGCTGTGTCCCCACTCAAATCTCATCTTGAATTTTAACTCCCACAATTCCAACATGTCATAGGAGAAACTTGGTGGGAGGTGATTGAATCATGTGGGCGGGTTTTTCCTGGGCTCTTCTCATGATAGTGAATGAGTCTCACAAGAGCGGATGGTTTTTAAAACAGGAGTTTTTCTGCACAAACTCTCCTCTCTTGTCTGCTGCTATGTGAGACACCTTCTGCCATGATAGTGAGGTCTCCCCAGCCACATGGAACTGTAAGTCCAATAAACCTCTTTCTTTTGTAAATTGCCCAGTCTCGGGGTATGTCTTTATCAGCAGCGTGAGAATGGGCTAAGACACCATCCTTATGTGGTTTCTCCTAGGGCTTTGCACCTTCCCTTTCTATGTCCTTTGCAGGCTCAATTTCTACCTTCTGACTATGAAATGTTAGATTTCCAAGACTTGGTCACAAGCTCCTTCTCTTTGTCTGTTCTAATACTTTCTCCCTCGACACTCAGGAATTATTATTACCAGGGTTATCAATAAATATCCAGGGCTTCGACATCTGATAATGCTGGTAGCTTTATCTCAACTTGCATTTCTCAAAGACCTTCAAAGTAAACTCGAACAAACCTAAACTCTGAAGCCTGGTTTCTCCTTAAGTGTTTTATCATTCAGGGGATGATAGTTCATCTCTTGCATAAACCAGCAATCAAAGAGTTCCTTTGAAATCTCCCTTTCCTCCACCTTTACCACCTCATCCATTATATCATCAAGTCCCAATGACCTCATGTGCCAATAATCTCTCAGATCCAGGGAGTTCTTTTCATCCTCCCTGCCAACCCCCAGGCCAAAAGTACCATCATTTCTTGCTTGGACTGCCTCAGTAGCCCTTTGTCTTCTTTTTCTCTCACTTCCCTCCAAATATAGCCACCAGAGTAAGGTTGGATTTTACTTCCCAGAACTGTCGAGTCTTCCCTAACCTAGTTCTCTTCTAAAATGTGAAAGACGTAGGCCATCAGGGATGTGGCTGGGAACGTCCATGATTGCTAAAAGCACTAAGACTTTGCAAGAGTTCATAGAAGGAGAAAGTTACTTCCAGCAACTAGGTCAGGGCAGACTTCACTGAGGAGGGTTGTTGAACTCTGGGTGGTTTGTACCTGCCATGTGAATGTTAAGAGGGTCATTTTAGGCCAGGTGTGGTCCTCATGCCTATAATTCCAGCACTGTGGGAAGACAAGGTGGGAGGATTGCTTGAGGCCAGGAGCCTGAGACCAGACTGGGCAACAAAGCAAGACCCCTGTCTCTACAAAAAAAATTTAAAAATAGCAGGTATGGTGGCACATGCCTGTAGTCCCAGCAACTTGGGAGAGTTAGTGTGGAGAGCCACTGCACTCCAGCCTGGGGTGATAGAGCAAAACCCTGTATCTTAAAAACAAAACAAAACAAAACACCCCATCATTTTAGGGAGTGAGAACAACAGGAACAAAGGCAGGGAGGTAACAAAAGAGAGGTATTGGTTCACAGTTTCTTTTAACAATTAATTATGGAGCATTTGTTATGAGTGAGACACTGTCACAGGTGCTGGGAATATATTGACTAAAAAAACAGACACGGGCCTCATAGAACTTACAGTTGAGAGGTGCTGTGTGGGGAGTGTGTTGGATCCCAGAGAACATGAAGGGAATCGTGGGACGTTTTGCTGGAGAAATAAGTGAAGACCAGATCAAGGAAGGGACTTAAACAGATAATAGGAGTTTTCGATTTTATAAAGTCGAGACTTATAAAGTCAATGCCTTGAGGGGACAGGTGGAAAATGTAAATTAGGGGAGTGGCCGGGGTGTGAGGTAAGAAGAAGAGTGGGGATTTGGGCAAACTAGAAATCTCAAGCCCTATCCAAGGAGTGAGTGATTATTCAGCCGCAGCTAATTATCGCCATTCTGAAATGTGGATCCAGAACTTCTGCTATTGAAAGAAAGAAATGCAAGCATGCAAGCTTTTAGAGCGACTTTTGGTTTGTTAAATTTCGATAATTAGTTTGATTCTTTTTTTTTTTTCAAAATGCCATGAAAGTATCAAACTATGAATTTGGGTTGGATTCAGCTTGCAGGACAGCAGTTTATGAGCTCTGCTTGATACAAATGGGAGCCGTTGAAGGCTCCTTGTCTTAGTCCATCTGGCTGCTATAACAAAATACCTTATACTGAGTGGCTTATAAATAACAAACTTATTGCTCAAAGTTCTGGAGGCTGAGGAGTCCAAGATCAAGGTGCTAGCAGATTTAGTGTCTGGTCAGGGCCTGTTCCTTATAGAGAGTGCCTTCTATGTGTCCTCATGTGGCAGAAAGAGCAAGCAAGCTCCCTCAGTTTTATTTCATAAGGCAATAATCCCATTCATGAGGGCTCTAACTTCATGACTTAATGATTTCCCCAAAAGCCCCACCTCATAATACTATCTCATTGGGGATTAGGTGTCAAAGTATAAATTTTTCAGGGACACACATATTCAAACCACAGCACATTATGTGGAAAATGTGTTGAAGATGAAAACTCTTTAGGCAGAAAGCCCATTGGAAGTGGCCTAGGAGACAAAGAATGAGAGTCTGGTTTAGATATTAGGCAAGAAGAAAGGAGATGGGCCTCTTCCAACAAACATGTTCCTTTTCTTTTTTCTTTTTTTTTTTTTTTTTTTTTTTTTTTTTTTTTTTTTTGAGACAAAATCTCGCTCTGTCATCCAGGCTGGAGTGCAGTGGCAGCATCTCAGCTCACTGCAACTTCTGCCTTCTAGGTTCAAGCCATTCTCCAGCCTCAGCCTCTCAAGTAGCTGAGATTACAGGCACGCGCCACAACGCCTGGCTAATTTTTGTATTTTTAGTAGAGGGAGCGTTTCACCATGTTGGCCAGCCTGGTCTCGAACTCCTGACCTCAGGTAATCCGCAGTGGCCTCTCAGAGCTCTGGGATTGCAGGTGTGAGCCATCGCACCCGGCCTCTTCTTTTTTCTTAGTAACTGAATTGCAATGTACCAGGCTGGAAAAGAAAACTACATTTGCCAGCCTTTCTTGTAGCTAGGTTTGGCCATGTAAATAAATAATTCTGTCCAATGTGATGGCAAAAGATTGTAGGATGGGGCTTCAGGAAAAGTTTTTAAAGCAGATATGCCTTTTTGTTCTTCCATCCTTCTGTTTTTGTCATTCTGAGATGCGGATACAATGACTGAAACTTCAGCAATTATCTTAAGTCAAAAGTCTAAGATAATTTTTAAAAAAGTAAGATGGAGGAACTAGGGGTCTCTAAGGTGCATAGGGCACCATCTCAGCCCTGAGTGACCTGCCTGCCTCAGGATTTCTACCTGAAAGAAAAAATTGGTTTTATATGTTTAGCCTGATATATTCTGACTTTTCTGTTACATGCGGTCAAACCCAACCCTCACTAAGAAAGCAACTAATTAAATGCAGAGAGCAGGAAGGTAATAGGAGCCCAGGTTTGGGTATACAATATTGGAAAGACAGGCATAGCAAGAATCTAGACGCACATCAGCAGGAGCAAGAATGCAGACGCCGAGGACCTATTGAGTGTTCACCATATCCCAAGTGCTATTCTAAGGGCTTTGTATGTGTTAACTCATTGAAATCTACCAACCAGTCTATGAAATACTAGTCTATAACCATTTTACAGATGGGAAAACTAAGGCACAGGGAGACTAACTGACTTAATCAGATCTCTAGCTAGCAAGTGGTAGAACCATGTGTCATCCAACTGCTCTGTCCCAGAGCTGGTACTTATCACTTCCACCCTATGCTGCCTTTATGCGCTGTCTGTCCCCACCTACCACACTTCCACTCTCTCTCTCATTTCTGGCCTCTAGCCACAATGCTTCCTTCTGCCCTGAAAATGCAAAGGCTCTTCCTGCCTCAAGGCCTTTGTCCTAATGAATTCTCTGTCTAGAAGGCTCTTCCTCCAGATTGTTATGTGGTTTGCTCCTTCTCCTAATTCTGGCCTTAACTATCGCCTCCTCAAACAGACCTCTGACTCAGCAGCTGGGGGACTCTTGCAATGCATGTTTCTTGTGCAGAATTATAACCTGTGTTCACATTCTCAGACGTCTATGGTTATGTTTCCACATTTAAGCTAAACAGAATGCTCTATTTAAAGAAACAAAAATAAAAACCTGGAACTGTCGGTGCCAGAGAGTCATCCATGTCCTCAAGAAATTATCTGACAAGTGGGGAGGCACAGGAGAAGAACCACGTGTACAATGCAGGATCAGCGCTCTTCAGGAGGTCCTGGAGTGAGATGCACAGCAAGGGCAGACACTTCAGCACAGGCCACTACAAACAGCTGAGGGTGGAAGTATCAGAGACTATTAGTTGTCCCCAGTTTATTTTATCTACTGTTTCCTTGAGAATAGGATCCCCAATTTGTTGCTGGACAAATGGTTGACAAAAACAATAACTACATTTCCCAATCTCTTTTGCAACAGATGTGTCCATGTGACCAAGTTACATGGAAACGAAATGGGAGTTCCTAAGTGGAACTTCTTGGATGCCATCAAAAAAGGGAAGGGCATGACTTTCTTTGATCCTCCCTTTGTTCCATGGGTTAACATGGGGATTCGAGAGCTCAATCTCCAGCAGCCGCCCCGGCCAATGACATAGAAGCAACATGACGAAGGAAGTGGAAAAATAATCTAGAAAGAACTTGGATTCTGGATGTCTGAATGATACCACCCATATGTAAAGAAAAAGAATCAGCTTTCTAATAGTTTATACCACTGGTATTTTCATTTTTCTGTCACTTGTAACCAAATCTAATCCTGATCCAGAGAATGTTATATAATAAATGATCCTGGAAAGATAAAACCAAATCAGTGAAGTCATTATAAGGAATATTAGGAAACTTGAACTTCATCTTGAAGTAATGAAAAGAGGGTGAACATTTTTTAGTAGCGAATGAACAGGATTCGTTACATTTTTTTTTTTTTTTTTTTTTTTGAAAAATCACTGTTGGGAATGAAAGCATTCTTGGGAAGTGAACTGGAGGGGGCAAGACTGGAGGCAGAGACGCCAGTTAGGAGGCTGCTATAAGTAGCACTGCAAAATGGCACACTCTGAACTGCAGTCATGGATGCAGAGCTAAAGAAGGTGGATTGCAGGGAAATCAAAGGAGTGGAATCTCTAGAACTTGATTTATCCATGTGCCGGCTGAGAAAACGGGAGCATTGGAATAACTTTCAGGTTTCTGATTTGGGCAGCTGCATCACTCATGAGTGAAAGGCATTAGGAGGAGCAGTTTACTAGGCTTCCAAAAAAAGACCTCCTCTAAGAATAGGGAAACTAAACAGTAGAAGATTTTAGAAATAGGATATTAACCCAGTTTCCAACTGCAAGTCCATCTGTCAGGTTTTTGGTGTAGTCAAAAGCAAGAACCAAACAGATCTTATTCAAAGTTTAGACAAACCATGCCCCTGCTTGACCTTGGGCCCAATTATTTAACCTCCTAGACCATCAGTTTCTTCATCTTTAAAGTGGACACAATCACACTAAAATCACTGGGCTTTATGGAAAATAATGAAATTCCAAGCTGAGCGCAAGGACATAGTAAATGGACAGTATGTGTAGCTGTTGTTATTTACTGCTTGTTAAGTATTCAGGTCATCTATATGGGAGCATTTTCTCTTCTCCTGCTTAGTCTCTCAAAGATTCTTAGTACAGAGCACAGCATTCTCAACTAAGTCCCACTGGAAAGTACATTCTCCATAAAAACAAAGGGAATTAAAGAGTCCAGTGTGTGCAAGCTAGCCCAAGGAGAACTTACTCAAATTGACTTTCACTTTGATTCTCTGCCTGCCCTGAGATCTCCCTCGCTTCTCCTTCTGGGTATCCACTCCACCTAGCAGCTCCAGCAAAAAATTTTAAAAATAAAATGCTCTTGATCAATATCTTGATAAATTTCTTAAAGTCTTAATGTGGTGGACAAATAATTCTTTTTTTATAAGCCTTTTTTTTCTTTGAAAGAATCTCAATTGACACGATTGAACCAAAAGAAAATCGGCATGACATATATAATATTAAGCAGTTACAAATCTGGAAGAGATTCAAAACCCAGACAGAAGGCTTTGATTTTTTAAAGCACATTTAATCATGTTTTAAAGCAAAATGAAAAACCACAAATCTGTTTAGACATTCCAAACATGAATAAATAATATTTTTATCAAAATCTTGTAAACGTACTCACACCAAAAGAAATTGTTCCTAAGCAGCGCTGATAAGTCTGTCTAAAATGTGAATCTGAAAACACTGCGTTTTTAAAATTATGCTTTGGAAGCATTGAATACGCTCAATGAAATTCCAGAATTAATCCACTCCAGTTTTGCAATAGGCACTGACTCATCTACATCTCCTTCCCTCTTAGCAAAGCTACCCTAACACACACACACACACACACACCCCTTCAGTTAGAACCAATGGGTATGATACATCAAAATAGTCACAGTTAATCCAATAGACACTTTTTTCTGTTTCCTGCCTCTGTTTTTTTCACGTTAAATGGAGGAAAACATCTCAGTTATCACCTGGAACATCTCCCAGATGAACCAAGATGCAGAGAAGCTCTGATTTAGGAACAATAGGCTGGCTCTTCATGCTCATAATCCATACTGTTTAGCAGTCTCTCGTAGAATGCCAAGAGAACTGCATGTTACTGATCCCCACAAATGCCAAAATTGCAATGGGTTGACATTTACTGTGCAGTAATATAACAAATGATTTACCTAGAAAGAGACACAGTCTTCCAGTGAGATGACAGTTAATCCTTCTTCCAGGCTTGGAGAGGTAGAGAGATTCCAGGAAACAAATTAGCTTTAAAAAGTCTCCGGTTTTAGCTGAATCATACATAGTTCTTTTTAAAATATAACTTTCTAAAAGATATAATTCACATACATAAAACACATTCTTTAAAAGTGTACAATTTAGTGGTTTTTAGTATATTCACAAATTTGTACAACCATCACTGTTATCTATTTCCAGAACATTTTAATCACTCCTAAAACAAACACCATACCCACTAGCAGTCACTCCCCATTCCCCTCCAACCCTCCAGCCTTAGGTAATTGCTAATCTCTTTCTGTCCCTAGAGATTTGCCTACTCTTGACATTCATATATAAGGGATTATACAACATGTGGCCTTTTGTGTCTGGCTTCTTTCACTTAACAATGTTTTTAAGATTGTAGATGGGAGTTTCTGCTGATATGTTGAATTTCTCTTCTGACAGCACTAACAGTTATCATATTTGGAGTGCTTCTCAATGCTAAAGTGCTTTGCATGCATAATCTCACTTCATCCTCACAACAGTAGAATGAGACATACACAATTATATCCATTTTACAGATGGGGAATTGATGTTTATAGAGAAGTCAAGTAACTCATCCAAGGCCAAACAGCTAGTGAGTGATTGAGGAAGAATTTCAATCCAGGCCTGTTTGACTCCAAAGCTTGTGATGTTAACCTCCAGGATCCACTGCCGGAATTCTTAGAGATGAGTTCTGATTTTGTTGCCCTTTCCAGGGTCTTCTTTTAAACAGGAAAAAGTGTATTCCTACGATGCTTGAGAGTCAAGGCAATTCCCCAGGGGCTGGACTCATATGCAATGGGTCAGTGAAATGCAGCATGGCCAGGTGTGCAAGCTGAGGAGCAGGGAGTGGCAGCTAGAAATGTAAGGCCTCAAGAATCCCAAGATTTCTAAGGAGAATGACGCAGAGCTATAGCACTCAGCATACCGGATGGGCAAATAGAAAGTGTGGGGTGTCTGGCTAACACTTGGAATGCCACCAACATCCCTGCCTTGGTCACTCATTGATGCGCTAATACATCAGATTATTCATATAATAATTAATAAATCATTTATTCACAAAAACTGGTCTTGACAAACATTGGAGGAATATAAGAGCCATGTTGCTCATCACCATACCCCCACAGCAAGGTTCAATCCTAAGAATCTGGGCATGGGATTCCATGTGTTTCTAAAAACTCTTTGAGGAGTGACAAAACATTAAAGCAGAGATTCATTAAAAGCTATTGATTTTTATGTTTCTCCAGATGAAATGACTTAAATTGCAGCTAAGATGCACAGTTCAATCTTTAATCTCAGCCAACCACTTCTTTTACTGCCTACCCTGAAATTTCAAGAAGCCACATGGTCAAGGAGAAATCAGCTTCACTTCTCCTGATTTCCATTCTCCCAATCCCTTGAGGCCCTTATCTCCACAAACTTCGACGTGGTTAGAAGTGGAATGCATGGATTGTGAAGAAGCAAAACAGAGCATCTGAGTAATTCTTCCTTAAAACACTGGACCCTGGATGCATTTTGGATGCAGGTGCAGAGGAAATGGTCTTTAAATGATGACAAATTTTTAGGCACATGGTTAAAATGAAGCCAACCAACCTCAAATGCTCAGATCTTCATCCCACTGTGATTTTCAACTTGAGTTGAATCCTTCAAAGGGGAAAAAAGAGCATCATTCTCTTCTCACTCCAAAGGGAGGCCTGTTCATCAGCCTGGCTCTTACCGTCTTTCCTGTTGTTTCTGGCGGCAGGAGCCTTTGTCTCAGGCTGAGCCCTGCTCTTCTGTGACCTTCACTATCACAGAAGTAAGCACGGTGCTTACTCAGTGCTGGAGTCAGACGAAAGCACACCTGAAACCCCACTCTGCTGAATTCAAGGTGTGAGGCCAATTACTTAACCTCTCTAAGCCTGTGTTTCCTCACTTGTTAAATGGGAATGTGAGTACCAACCTCTTAGGGGTTCTATGAGGATTCAGTAAAATTTCCAAGTAAAATTTTCTTAAATTTGGTATGACAACAACTTTTTATAGGCTTCTCTTAAATGCTATAGAAAGAAAAAATATTTATAGCTGAAAAAATAAAAATAAAGCACTTGGCAGAGTGGCATGTAAACATCCCAGTAAACATTAGCTATTGTTTTTACAAATTTCTCTCAGATCTTTGGAGACACATCCTGGCGAGAGGTTACACAGTCTTTATTTGAAGTGTACAGAAGGCACACATGATTCAGAGAGGTTGGGAGGGAGTGAAAATGTGAGCTCTCTCTAGTGGGTGCTTTCTGGTACGAGCACTCTATCTGAAGGGAAAACCTTTCCAAAGGCTTAGAAATTGAAATGTTTTTGTGCTTAGCTCAGGAGATCACCTCCTCTTGGGGGCAGAAAAGATGAGAAGGCCCAAATGAAGAGTCCAAACAATGGAAGGTGCTGTGGCAAGAGGCAACAACAGCAAAGGCCAACACTGCTCAGGAGAGCAGGGTTCCAGAGGGTAGGAGCGGGAAGTGGGGATCCACGCCACAGGGGGATGGGAAAGCAGAGACAGCCATGGCCACAGCTAGCCACACAGCTGCTAGGCGCCAGTTAGGACCAGCAGACTTTCTCTCAGGCAGCACATCCCTCACCAGGACCCACGAATTAATGAGTGGAGCACAGGCTGGATTTCAGTTCATCTCCTCAAATGGGTCCTTGAGCAGGACTCAGACTTCACTGCCTTCAGCAGTGCCCCTGGGCTGGGGGTGGGTGTCTGAGTTTGGATATAACCCAAGAGTCCAGCACCAAGAAGATGAGAGCAAGGAAGCTGATATCTCAGTATGTGGATGGGGGGCGGGGGGAGCAGGAGAGGAATGAGGGAGGATCTCAGGGAAGTGTTTCTCTATATTTTGCCACATCTGTGAACCACTGTAATTGGTTAACTTCTTCAGAAATGGAAGCTGAAATGAAGGTTGGGATACAGGATGTTGATTAGGGATTAGCACTGCAGAGGAAACAGGAAAGAAGTAGGATTGAGCAGAAGGAGAAAACAAACTGCTGTGCAGGCCTGACAAAGCCTCAGTCAATATAATGAGATGGAAGGGGGATCTGGAGCAAGAGGAAGGATTGGGACCCCATTAGAGGTTCCACCATCAGAGAAGGACATGGCCTCAGGAAAGGTAGCTCTCTGAAGCTGAGGCGGACCCTGAAGGAGCTTCCAGCCTGAGGCTGTCTGCTGACCACGTTCCCCAAGGCTGCAGCAAGGCCCTCCTTGAAAGGAGATCTGAGTGGCACATCTCCATGGGCACCAAAAGCATCTCAATGTCTATTCATGGTCAGTTCTCATTATTCACACTAGTTATATTCTATAACATCTCTGCAAATACTGAATTAGCAAATACTGAACCATTGCTCCCAAGTGAAATACAGGGTTAGGTACCCGTGAGCCTCTAGTCATAACATTTTCATCAGTCAGTCAATATATGACCTTGTTTTATATGTGTTTCCATTTAAAGACGCCTTATTTAATATATATTGTTGACTCATTAGCATTGAACTCATGACCAATAGCACACTGTATGCCTGAAGGAAGAGTGTCTAATACATGTAGGTTCTCCCTAAGGCACATCACAGCTTTCCTGTGCTTAGGAAAGCTAGATAGCACAGTCGCTCTACACGTGGGGGTCATTTTAACAGTGAAATTACCAACAAAAAGTGCAGAAATGCCAAAAAGTGGTACTAAATCAACCACTTGATTATAGAAACTTGTTTACAGTATGAGAGCTGAACAAAATAGAGCATTACCTTGCTGGGCCTCAGCTGAAAACTTGTATAGCTGGCAACTCAAATGTTTGCTGCTCCACACATGTCTGCAAACAATAGCAAAACCACTGCACATATTGACTTTGGAGTTACAGATACATTTTAGCAAGTAGGCAAATTCACAAATACAGAATCTATGAATAGTGAAGATCAACTGTACTTAATTTTTTTTTTTTTTTTTTGACACAGAGTCTTGCTCTGACATCCAGACTGGAGTGTAGTGGTGCGATCTTGGCTCACTGCAACCTCTATCTCCTGGGGTCAGGCGATTCTCATGCCTCAGCCTCCCAAGTAGCTGCCATTACATGCATCACCAGGTCTGGCTAAGTTTTTGTATTTTTAATAGAAACGGGTTTCACCATGTTGGCCAGGCTGGTCTTGAACTCCTGGCCTCAGATGATCCACCCACCTTGGTATCCCAAAGTCCTGGGATTACAGGTGTGAGCCACCGCGCCCATCCCAATCATACTTAATATTTTTAATTGCCTCCTTTCTTGTAACATAAATCTTTGTTCTAATTTTAGATACTATTATTGATGAAATCATGGTTTCATTGGGTTGGGTATATTTTTATTAACATACATTAATTTAAGAACATTCCTGTTAATAATAAACTGTTCTTCTTTATGCCATCTAAAATTGTCTCATGCACCCCTAGTTGTACA